CCAAACTGGGCCCAAAATCACCACTCCAAGCTATGGGGGGACACAGGATACCCCGAACTGGTTCCCCCACCCTCTGAGTTATGGGGGCACACAGGACACCCCGAACTGCGGGGTGCGGGTCCCCTGATGTCGCTTTCTGTGCCACCAGGAGCGCGGTGCCAGCGGGACGAGGAGTGCGGGGCCGGCGGCTGCTGCGCTCGCCAGCACGGGGAGCGCGTTTGCCAGCGGCGCCTGGCGCTGGCCCAGAGCTGCCACGTCCCCCCCGGGGGACTCGCCTTCAGCATCAACCAAGTGTGCCCGTGCCAGGCCGGGCTGGTCTGCCGGCCCTCCGTGCCCTCCAGAGAGTGAGTATGGGGTGCCAGGCTGGGCGGGGGGCGTGGGGGACACCCGGGGGGGATGGCTGAGGTGTCACCGGTGTCACCGTGTGCTGTTGTCCGCAGGAAGGAGTTCGAGTACCTACCGGAGAAGAGCGAGTGGCGGTGCCGGCAGCCCTGAGAGCCGGAGTTGTAATTTATTTTCTGTAAATAGCGAGTCCACAGCGCGTCCACAGCGTGTCCGGACCCGGCCGAGCGCCGATAAACCCGGCCCAGCGCCGCGCTGAGCCCATCCCCGGGGGGCTGGAACCCCTCCCGACCCTCGCGTGGGGTCCTCGCCCCTTCCCCCGGAGCCGGGCAGGTCCCAGCTCCATCCCTGCCCGAGCAGGGCTGAGCCGTGTCCGGTCACAGCCGTGTCCCCCCCGTGTCCCCCCCAGCAGGTTCAGGCACGGGGCACCGAAAATGTTTTAAGTTTCAGGTCTCACCGAAATGTTTATTACAAAGAACCAAGCGAGCGGGGCGAATCCCTCCCCCCCCATCCCCAACACACACACACACACACATCAACGAGAATAAATAAATAAAATACATTTTTTGTCGGGTCTTTAAATTAAAAGTTTGTGGAGTGACATAAATACGGGACGTCCCTCTGCCCGCGGGGGGGGCCCCGCTGCCCGGATTGTGGCCGCCACGGGGGCGAGCGCTGGGGCAGGGGGGGCTCAAAAGCACTTGGCAGGCAGTGACACCGAGTTCCCCCCCCCAAAAAAAAAAAGGGGGAAACTGAGGCACACACGGGTGGCGGCTTGGCAGCGGCAGAGCTGGGTGCCCCCAAGCCCCCCGACCTGGGCTGGTGGTCTGGGTAAGGCAGTGACCCCGGGGACCCCCAGCATTGCCCCCAGGGATGGGGGTGGGGGGCAAGGGGCTGCCCCATAAGTGGGACAAGCCCCGTCCCGCGGTGAGAGCTGGACATGGGGTCACCCCTCGGAGCTGGGGGGCACAAGGGACGCCCCGGGGCGGGCACAGGACAAGGCAGTGCCCCGGGGGGCGGGGCGGG